TTCATGTTCTTAAAATTCAGAAGAATTTAGTCTATGCTAGTTTGTTTGCAAATAAAGAATTTAAAATAGTAATAGAATTTGATAATGTAATAGTATTCAAAGGTGGCTTATTTATAGGAAAAGGAAACTTTTCTGATGGCTTGTACAAGTTCAACGTTAATGAAATAAATATGATTTTTACTTATACTGTTGAGTCTAATTCTTTATTATGGCCTGCTAAACTAGGACATTTAAATTTTAGTTCTATGAGATTTATGTCTAAAAATGGTTATATTGCATGCAAAAATGAGAATCCAGAAAAATGTAAAATATGTATTCAAGCAAAAATGACAAAAAAACCTTTCGTGGTATAGAAAGAAACTTACAATTATTAAATCTTGTACATTCTGAAATATGTGAATTAAATGAAAAATTAACTAAGAGAAGAAAAAGATATTTTATAACTTTCATAGATGATTATTCTATATTCAATTATGTTTATTTAATCAAAATAAAATGAAGCTTTTCAGAAATTTAAAGAATATAAATTTGTTATGAAAAAATAAAAAAATAAAAAAATTAAAATTTGAGAAGTGATGAAGGAGGAGAATATTTTCTTACAGAAATTGATAATTTTTGTGAAGAATATGGTTGATAGATAAAAAAAAAAGCTTTTTATTCACCACAACAAAATGGATTGGCTAAAAAAAATTAAAACCATGGCTGACATGACCAATGCTATGTTATTGAATGCACATCTATTGCATGATTTATGGGTCGAGACTTTATTAACAGCATGTCATATACTGAATAGAGTTCTCTCTAAAAGTATTAAAATTTCATCTTATGAATTTTGGAATGGAAGAAAACCAAACTTAGAATATCTAGAAGTGTGGGATGCTTGATCTTTTATAAAGTTCTTGAACTACAATGAAAAAGCTTAGACCTAGAGCAATGAAAGGTGTTTTTGTTGGCTATGCCCAACATTTTATAAGTTTTATATTGTCAAGTTTATTGAAAATAAGTTTTTTTTATAACTCTAATAATAAATTTAATTATAAACAAAATGTTTTAATTTCAAGTTGTAACTAAAGTGATATGACTTTTCATGGTACATCTAGTAAAAGAAAAATAGATGATACTCAAATTGAGCCTAAATGTCAAAGAGTAAGAAAAAGAAAGCACTTAAATTTAGATTTCATTGACCTACAAGCAATATCATTCCTTATTGAAGGAAGTAGAACCAAAGTGTATAAAAAGAGTCTTATTTTATTAAGTGTTGAAGATAATCCAAAAACATTCAAAAACATTATGTTTTTAAAGGATGTAGCATTTTGGAAAGAAGCAATAAATGATGAAATAGATTCAATCTTGTTAAACAAAACATTAGTTTTGGTTTATCTTCCTCCTGTATCAAAACTCATAAGCTGTAAATGAGTATTTACAAGAAAATATGACACAGATGGTTCAATGTAAACCTTTAAGGGTAGACTAATTGCCAAAGATTTCAAGCAAAAAAAGAGCATTGATTATTTTGATATTTATGCTCTAGTGTCAAGAATAACATTCATAAGAATGCTTTTGGCTTTAGCTTCTATTCATAAATTACATATACATAAAATAGATGTTAAACCAATATTCTTAAATGGAGATTTTAATGAAGAAATAAATATGAAGTAACTTTTATACTTCCCAAAAGTAAGAGAAAGGCTCATAAACTAATCAAATTTCTTTATGGACTAAAACAAGCTCCAAAGTAATGATATGAAAAGTTTGATAGTACTATATTTTCAAACGAATTTGTACATAATAATGCAAATAAATGCATTTATTCTAAATTTACAAAATACTATGGTGTAATTATATGTCTTTTTGTAAATGATTTGTTGATCTTTTATACAAATATATTCGAAATTGTCAAAATCAAGAAATATTTGACTTCAGCTTTCAAAATGAAAGATTTCAATGAAATTGATACAATATTGAAAATTAAAGTCAAAAGAGATAAAAATGTGGTTTCATTGAGTTAATCACATTACATAAAATTTTTTCACAAATTTAGTGATTGGAAATTAAATAGTTTAATACTTTTTATAATTTTGGTATAAAATTGACTAAAAATTGTGAAAAAGTTATGACACAATTAGAATATCTAAGTATTATAGGCAACATAATGTATGTTGCACATTGTACCAGACTAGATATAGCATTCACCATTTGCAAACTTTCAAGGTTTACAAGTAAACCTAGCAAAGATCATTGAAAGGTTATTATTAGAGTACTTGGATATTTAAAGATAACAACAAATTTGAAAATTTATTACAGTGATTTTCCTAATACTTTAGAAGGATTTTTTTTATACTAGTTGGATAATTAGTATTGATGATAATAAATTGACATTAGGATGGATTTTACCTTACGAGGTGATGCCATTAGTTGGGCATCTAAGAAATAGACTTATATTACGCATTGCACAATGAAATCTGAATTTTTAGCATTAATAGCTATGGGAAATGAATCGAAATGGTTGAAAAATTTGTTATTAGATATAAAGTTGTAGCTACAACTTATGTTTGTCATTTCCATATATTGTGATAGTAAGGTTACAATATGTGTAGCCCATAATAAGATTTCTAGTGGAAAGTTTAGACACATAAGTCTATGACATGCCTACATAAGAGCATTTCAAATGGCTTTACAATAATAATTAATGTTAAATCTTGCAAGAATTTGACTGATCCACTTACCAAATCTTTGCCAAGAAAGACGATAAAATCAACATCTAGTGGAATGGGGCTAAAACCCTTGACTTAAATGCGTTAGTAATCGAAACCCAACTCGAAGTTAGTAAAACCAACAATAAAAGTTCAATGGGTATTAACAAGTTACTATATACTGTTATTATGCATTGAATTTTAAAATTAAATAGCTCCATTTTAGAATATTCAGTGCGATTGTTGCTAGGAAAAGATGAGCCAAAGGCTCTTAATGGAAATATTAAATGCTTGTAGTAACAGGGGCATAATGACAAATTTAACTTATATGAATATTGAAATGGTGTCGCTTCAAATGAGAGTTCAAAGGGTTTATTTTTGTAAATATTCATAAAACCAAGATTAGCACAAAGTCATATAGGTACTGCAGTAGTTGGTAGAATCTTAAAGTGATTGAATAATGCTATGTGTATGATATTTTCGGTTATAACATAAGGAGTTATGATTCAATCCCTGTGATACAAATAACTTCGTCTTAACTTTAAAATTCACCATTGGTAAAAAGTTTAAATCTTCAATATACTTTCTATTATGTGTAGTATTATTAATATTACAAACTAGTGGAGAATTGTTAAATAGTTTGTAACACTAGTTTGTAATGTTGAAAGTCTTATTCAGATGTGACTGTTCAGATTAAATATAACTATTGAAATTTGTTCCGTAGACATGTCTGTTGAAACACAACAACACATGTTGAAACATGATACAACATTTTAATGTTTATAAAAAGAACGTACTTCTAAGACAAATTTTATCTTTCAAAAGCATTCTACAATAGATTTATTGCATCTTTGAGAGTCATTGTCTGCAAATCTTCATAACAGGCTACAACTTTTTAAAGACAATGTGTTACAACACACCTCAAGCCTTTTTACTCATTCATTTATATTATTTTTCTAACAATCTTTGCAGTTGAATCTGGCCCCTTTACAACTTGACCATTGTCGAATGCTGATGCTTATATGCCTTTTCGATGATGGTTGGTTAAAGGGTTTTTTTTTTTAACTTAGGCTGGAGGTTTGTTTTGGTTTATTTATGTTTTTAAAAAATAAAATTGGTAAAAAAAGAGAACAATATATGTAATTAAAATACAGTTTATTTGGTTATTATTGTTATTATTTGCACATTTGGTTTTAAAAAATAAATAATATTTAAAATTAAGATAAAATATATTTTCTCAAATAATAATGTATGATTTTAGTTATAATAACTGTTTGCTTTATGGCATTTAAAAAAAATTTTAAAATAAAAAATAATTACAAAAATTAGCAAAGAAAGGAACTTATACGAGTAAAGGATAAAGTCTAGAAGTATGTTGGGGCTGTGCAAATAGTTAGTTCAGTGAAATTAGTTCCAGAAATCTTACAATCGAAAAACTAAACTCCATTTCTAAAAAAATAAAATCGAATCAAAGTAATTGTAGTAATAGAAAAATTGAACACCGAACTACTTCGATTAGTTCAATTTGGTTATTGAAAACCGGACTTATGAAGATAGAGGGGAAAAAAATGTGAGGATGCAGAATTTTTTTACTAGATCCTATGTTGAGATTTTCTTTTGTCTTGTTTTTTTAATTGAATAATAAAGATTTAAAAATAAAATATTTTATTTTATTTTTTTAACTCAAAGCTCACTTATGTTTTTTTGGTCAATATAAACCCATACCATTTGCTCTCAATATTATTGTTTCCTTTAATTAAAGTATTGTTAATAAAAATATGAAGTTAATATTATATATTTTGATTTAGACTATACATATGAAAAATATACACTTTAATTCCCTAAACTAGGAAAACTCCAAATTACTTATTGTTATATACGTATTACTATTTTGATTAATTCAATTATTTCAATTGAAAAAATTTCTAATGAAAATTGAACCATTTAAACCATTTTTAATGAAACTTAATTAACCGAAATAACTGAACCGTGAATCCCAAATTTCTTTCTATTTGGTTTGGACTTGCACACCCCTAGAGGTATGGATACAACTATCCGGGATTGATTTACTAATTTCCAGTTGGAGAATGGAGAGTGACTAGCACTAGACTTCGCAGCGCGTCAATGACGCCTCCTCGCGAAAGTGAAATTTATTTTAGTATTGTAAAAATAGGAAAAGAAAACAAAAAGCAGCATGAAGGGAGACGACGCCGTTCTGACAAATCGCCGCCCTAAGATATGGATCAAAAAATTAAAAAAAAATGAAGGAAAAGAAAAGAAAAGAAAAGAAAACACATTGAAATATTGAAATTCTAACCTCATTTGCCAAAACCAAACCACCTCTCTCTCCTTATTTTTCTTAGTTTCTCTCTCTCTCTCTCTCTAATTCCAACGACCAAACCCTAACCAATACCTTTTTAGTTTTCTCTCTAATTCGTTTCCTGATGCTTTAGTTCGAGATGTCTCTTCAGATCTGATCCACGTAAGTTTCTTTTTTGTTTTCTTTTCCTCTCTTTTTCTTTTTTGACTTTATTTTATTTTTCGGATTTGATTTATTATTTCTGGAGACTTTGGAGGATTGATAGACGTAAGTAGTCTAATCATCTTCTTTTCTATCGGCGGATCGGATGTTTTCTTATTCCGTTTTGGTTTTTATTTATTGAATTTTTATCTGTAATTAATGGATTTTTTTATTCTTTTGAGGAAATAATTGAAAGAAAAGAAAAGGCAAGAAAGGAAAATCTGAAATTGCAAATTTGAGACGATTTTTCCGAGAGGAAAAGGGAAAATATACGTTCAAAATTGATTTGCAATAATAAGAGAGAGAGAGTTGATTTTCCGCTGTTTGCTCGCTGACCAAGAGGGGATTTTATTATTTGGAAGACTATTTTACTAGTTTTTTTTTGAATTTTGAATTTTTTCTTTAAAGAATTTTTGGAAATATTATTGTCCTTTACTGATTATTTATGTGTACAATGTTTGGACATGTTAGTTCTTTGCGAGGAAAAACCACAATGTCTTGATTGTATTTTTTTAGATGTATGAGTTTGAGGCAAATATTAGCTTTAGGATGTAAAGGATGGATTGATTGCCAGTAGGAAGAAGCTTTGGTATTATCCTTTCCAGAGATTTTGCAATGATTTGCAAATATTATTTTTAAGTAATCATGAGAGGGTAAGCCAAACATGGTTTGGGATGGATTTTAATTCTTAGATGTTTTGGGACTGAAGCTGCCGTTTGAGAGCTGATTACTATTAGATAGCTACATTCAAGTGCGAAAGTCTTTCTGGATTATAGATTTTAAATTGTGCTTTCTAGCTCATTGTTTTCAATTAGTTGATTTTGGCAATCTTGATCTTAGGTTTTCAATTGGTCGAATGGTTTGATAAATTTTTTTCCTTTGAGATGGGCCCTGCGATTGTCTACATTTTATATATTGGTTGTTAGAAATTTGAACAATTATTATCTTGGAATCTAGTTATATAAGCTTTCTTCTATTTTATTGGAGTCTGTTGCATTGTGATTACCGCAGAAAGTGTTTATTATTTGGAGGATCAGATTCTTTCCCATCTACCGTTATTACAGCTAACTTAGTAGAAATTGATTGAATTTGCTTTAGCCACTGATAAGTTGCCTACTTTGTTTGCTGATGATGAGTACACATTTTCTGCAGATTTAATGCATTTCGACGAAATATATTAGATGGATGATGATAGTGCAGATGGATAACATGTCTGCTCCTTCATCCAGGGAGCGCGCACAGCGCCTTTATGAGAAGGTATCTTTTTCTTCTTTAGAAACTGAGGTTCTTTTTGAGTTTCTGGCCATGGAAGTTAATTTTTGGTACCCTGTACAGAATATAGAGTTGGAAAATAATCGTAGGAGATCAGCTCAGGCACGTGTGCCTTCAGATCCCAATGCCTGGCAGCAGATGCGTGAGAACTATGAGGCCATAATTCTAGAGGACCATGCGTTTTCTGAACAGCACAATATTGAATATGCTTTGTGGCAGTTACATTACAAGCGGATTGAGGAACTAAGAGCACATTATAGTGCTGCCCTAGCTTCTGCAGGATCAAATGCATCTCAGGGTGTGAAAGTTGCACCACGACCTGACCGTCTTACAAAAATAAGACTGCAGTTTAAGACTTTTCTTTCGGAGGCAACGGGATTTTATCATGAACTAATTTTGAAAATCAGAGCAAAGTATGGACTTCCACTTGGGTACTTCTCTGATGATTCCGAAAGCCGAATTGTTATGGATAAAGAGGGGAAGAAATCGGCTGACATAAAAAAAGGCTTGGTGTCTTGTCACCGTTGTTTGATATACTTGGGAGACCTGGCTCGGTACAAAGGATTATATGGAGATGGAGACTCTAAATCACGCGAGTATGCAACAGCTTCGAGTTACTACTTGCAAGCTGCATCAATTTGGCCATCAAGTGGGAATCCACATCATCAGGTTTATCTTTGTTTTCCTTATTCCTGTTAATAGAGTATCCTTTAACTTTTTATGCCCTGATAATCTTTTTGCACTTGCCTTGAATCTTTCCTATTGAACATATTCTGATTTTTTACTTGGGCAAAATTCTGATTTTTTATTCGGGCAAATATCTGCTTATTTCAGTTAGCTATATTGGCGTCCTATTCAGGGGATGAGCTGGTGGCCGTTTATCGGTATTTTCGGAGTTTGGCAGTGGATAACCCCTTTTCAACTGCGAGGGATAACTTGATTGTGGCATTTGAGAAGGTTTAAGTTTTAATTTTAGTTTCTATTTTGGCATTTGGGTTCATTTATTTACTTATTTTATAGAGCCTTGTCTCTACCATGTGGCCTTTTGGATGTCTTATTGGTGATTGGTAATGCGTGCTTTTGTAGCTAACTAGGACATTAAGTTGCTTGCTTGGTTGAACTTTTTGATATGTGCATCATCTTTTATGCAATACTTATAAGATTTTTTGGAGAAATGTAGATAATTGCTAACCATTAACCTTGTCTTGGGTGTTTTTCTGCAAAGGTGGTGATAACAGATGGCTACTCCTTTCTGGTCTGATGGGAAGAAATTATCAATCCACTTTTTTCGGTTTAGTGGTTAATGACAATGCTTATGAAGATTTGTGATGGAGTATTATAGAATAAAACATTTTCGAATGTTTTAACAGAAGAAATTGTGTTATTTTGTTGTCTTACATATGTACACACAGATATTCATAGATTCGCAGAAGCGACAATATAACAT